GTAAACTAAGATGAGGCCTTGTGCTACATTGGATAGTGTCTGAGCTAGAGGCTCAGGGTTCAAGTCCCAATCCAAGACTTGATGGCAAAGAAAAATCCATTCATAATGCAGCCAAAACAGGTTGATCAATCTGTATCCCTTCCAATATCTGCCAATGGCAGGCAATAAGAGTAGGAGAAATTCCTGTACAGCCATGTGATAGAAGGTAAATTAGAGCATCTAACACTATTCATAGCTCTGGACAACAACATATATGTAAACTCTGACACCTTTGGGGCCAGTTGGCTCAGTTGGATGCAAAGTGTAGATATGATTGGAGCCAACAGCAGAGGGTTTGATTCCTGTTCTGGCTGGGGAAGATTCAAGACCCAACTCTGTGCCTTTGCAGTGATGGAGAACACAATACTGAGAGTTGAAACTACCTTCAAGCAAAAAGCTGAAAAGAAGTGATATATTAAACCCTTCTATCCTTAACTATTTTAAATTCATATGTAGCAACGGCTTAAACAACATACAATTGGAACTGATGGAAGGTTCTCCTCACTGCAGCCATAGCATGGAAAAGGAGTGCAATTTAGGATGGGTTAGCACATGGCAAGTCGTAAGGACAAAGGGTAAAGTGTGATTGACTATCACTGCTTGACAGTAAACATGAGAGAAGGGAGGAGGAAAGTTACACTGATGGGATGATTAGGGGTTCGGGAAGTGAAACATTGGGCTGGAAAGAGCTATGAAGAACAGCTCCAGTTATTTTGTAGAGAGGGTCAGGAGGCAAACATAATGAATAGCTAAGTGGGTAAGATAGGCAAGTGCAAACATGAAAGCATCACAGAACATATTTATAAAATTTCATATTCTTCCATTTTAAGAACTAATGTTTTTCTTTTCCTTACATATTATGCACTACTTCTTGATTTTTACATGCCTGATGTTACCAGGCATAAATTTTAAACCCTTTTCTAAAATCATTTTCTATCTTGCCAACAAGAGCAAAATGGCAGTGATCCAAGGTCAAATATATTCTACAACGAGATATGTAAAGTAATGGGGAAAACAAAATAGCAAATTGGATTGCATAATAGATTAAAGAATACAATCTTAATGTATGTCAAAAATCAAATGAAATATTGAAAACAATTATAGAACCATAGTTGCAAAGCCACTTAAGATGCCAGAGAACGCTAACTGTTAGACAAGTGACAAATCCAAGAGCTGAGAGTTACACTGTACAAAATACAGCTGTTACAATTAGCATAAATAGAAAATAATAGAAAGACAGTGAAGAATAAAGGTGCTTTTAGATACAGGGTTAGGTGTTATGAGCAGAAACTATGGAATATCAGCTGATTTTCACAGCAAAACAAAATAGAGAATATGTTTTTAGTTGTTGAAAATTGCTACAACTCAATATCTGTAGGCGGAAAGAATAAAGATAAAGTTAAATAAATACATCCCCATACTCAAAACTCCAATTTATAAATAGATGTATTTAGTGCAGCATATAGTGACAGGGTTAAACTATTGCAAAATGAGAAGTTATTCATGACTTTTGCATTGAAATCAGTAGCATGGACTTGGAGAAGGAAAATGATCTGAATGAGTCCTGACAGGAAATAAATGAGAATGAACCAAATGGGAAGTTCTTCATTTCTACTTTCTTATGCTTTTATTGAGGATAGGGTATAGTGCTGGCATGTATTAAAAAAAACAATTATAGTAAATCCTCAGTATCCACAAAATCACAAGTTGTGAATTCCACCTGTCAATGGCAAAAAATACGTATCAACAAAATTCAACGTATCTGCTATTTTTAGCCAATTTTTAAACTTGTTTTTAAATGAGCACAACATTCGCGAATTTCATCATTGGTGGGGGTACTCAGGAATAGGACCCTTGTGGATACAGAGGAATTACTGTATATTAATAAGAGTTCATTTCCACACAAAAATTTAAGATACAAAAAATAGTCTGTATTAGATTGCTTGGCTCCCACAGTCATTAGTGTTTCAGAACCTCTACAGAAGCAACTTATTTAAACCTGTAAACATATACAAAAACTCAGAAATAAATACCATGTCCATTCATGATGAGTGAAGAATGCATTTTACACTGCAAACGAGGAACCTAAGAAATGGTTAACTCAGTTTACTTCATTGAACATCCACTGTACATGAGAGGTACCTACCAAAAGCTGAACAGTTAATCAGAAGCAGGGAAGAACAAAAGTCTGGGTTATATTGTAAGATATAAACATGGTCTACGTGCCCATGTGTTGCTCCATTGGCTGTTTTGCAAATGAAAGCAATGGACAAGATACTTAAGAGCATGTGGTATGATCTGGAACTTTACCAGTGCTTTCTTTTTCCCAGAAGATGACTGCAGTGCAAAATGCAGTCTAATTTTCTTCGCAAACCTCAGCTTCAACTGTTTAGGATTTAGTAATAAGAACATACTATCTGCTTGAGTTCGTTTCCAAAGATACATTTCATTAGAAGTTATCTGATTTTAACTAGCTGTACCTGAGAAAGAGTTTGGTTTGCTCTATCGCCTACAGTGGTCTATAGAAAGAACTAATCAGACATATTTACAGTTTCGACAAAAGAAAATTTAATTATTTCTTTGGATTGCAAAAACTCACTATTTGCTGGTTGGGTAATCTTAATTTGAAATACACTGCCAGTACAGATTGATAAAATAGATCCATTTGATTGGACAATGAAGTTTTGTTTTAAATCATTCAGATTATGTAATGATCAAAAACAGACAGATGTGTGAACAGTAAACAAGTTATGATTTAAATTGCTTTCGGGTATTAAAAACCTAATTGGCCATCAAACATTTGGGAGGCTGATAATATTCTTCTCATGCAAATGCTGTAAACAATTAATATCTAAATTGCTTGATGAGTGCAAATAATTAATTTGCTTGCCAAATAAACCTATTTTTTCATAGAGATCCATATATGGACAGAGGCAGAAGGAAACAACCTTATTTCAGAGTCTGGAGACAACATGCAAAATAGTCTTCTGTATGCGACCACAACATCTGCATTAGTTAAATGCAAGAAGTGCAGCATCTTCTACTGTGGACTGTCCTTGCCCTCATTTTTTGCATCAGTCATAAGTTAACCGGAATAGCACTGACAATTATGCCAAATTGGGTCGAGTTAAAACCACCAAATTAGATTGCACAAACTTCTCAAAATACTGAGAAGGTCTCCCTCCCAAGAGTCTTGACTGGATTTAGACACAAGTTCCTGACATCAAAGTTCAAACCACTGTACACCCAGTTCCCCATTGTAAAGGATGTGTCCTGCACAGGCAGGAGATTGTGGGCATTCATGAAGCATTTAAAATAATATACTATTAAGTCATATGGGTTGATTCTGCAGCTTGGAGAAGGTGCATATTTTGGTTCATTAGACGCTTAGTTTTGATATAATCGATGCCTCTTTGCTGTGACAGTAAAGTTGGCTAAGGAAGGTCAAAAAAAGTATTAGAGAGAGTTGAATCAACAGTGCTATGAACAGTTTCTTGACCGAATAATGCCAAACAAGAACTTACATTAGAAACCCAAGGAGTGTTTCAAAATTTCATTAAGGGTATTAAAGAAAAGAGATTTGAGTTGTCTTGAAAGGCAGTTTGTTAATTCCTTCAAGCTCTGTAATTCTTTTTAGCGACTTGATATAGTGGAGGATCTTACTAGGTCACTGTGGAGTTAACTTGATAGTATTCATACTGGTGTGGGATTAGAGTCAAATAAAGTCAAGGCTGGCAAAGAATGATCACTTCCATCTAGAAGGACAAAGGCAGCAGATGCATGGGAACACCACCATCTGTAAGGTCCCCTTCAAAACATTCATCACCATGAGCTGGAAACATATCGCCGTTCCTTCACTGTCACTGAGTCAAAATCCTGGAATTCTCTTCCTAATGGCATTGTGGGTCAACTTACTGCATATGGACTGCGGTAGTTCAAGGCAGCAGCTCACTACCACCTTCTTTTGGACAACTAGAGCTAGGCAAAAAATGCTGGCCAGCCAGCAATGCCCACATCCCATGAATAAATTAAAAAAGAGTGGAGTTATTTTTCCTTAGTAGTCTAGGAGGGAGGTCTAAAGCGATTTTGGATTTTGATTCATGTTGTACTGTGTATAATCAGGAGGATAATAATGAAAGCACTTTGTTCAGAGACTGGTTAAAAATAATGATACCTATAGAAACATTATGTTGTAGCAGGGCATCTATGATGTCTGTTATTAGTAATACTTGTTTCTGCATCTTGAGCTAAAAAACATTTCTTGTGTATTAAATTGCTGAAACTGCAAGCTGATAATGGTGCAGTGAGGGAAATCATATACTTGGACTTGAATGAACAGGTCAAGCAACAGTCTGCTTCTCTTAAACTCATCAGTTTGAAGGATTAAGAAATAAATGCTAAAAGTAAAGTTAGAAGTGAGTGTCCTCAATGTCAAGTTAAATATAGAAAGAGTGAAACAGGGGGCAAGAAAGGTTGGAATGAGAGAGACTGAAAAGGAATGAAGTTTCAGTTTGACATTTTTAAGATTCCCAGCAATTAAATTGTTGGAATGTAATTCCACATTGATAACAGTTAATTTTCAACCACCAGAAACTGAGTGGCAATAATTATCTCAATAATTAGGAATACTTGCAAATGAAATGACAAACCTTAACTGTTTTCGATCAAGTTTTTGTATTATCCCACACGTACAGCACCTGATCATTCAACGTATGTCAATGGGTGAGCAGTTAATAAAATATGACGTTGGCATAGAATAACAATGCAGATTGCAATTTTTGGATATTGACATTTAGCCACATATCCACTCATTTGAAGCTGTACTGTTTATACAGAGAGAATTGAGTTGAAGCCTCAGCATTATTTTGACCACAAATTCAGATCCAAAATATGGACTCATGTCATTAAGTAACAAAGAATGCAATTGAAATACATTATTTACAGTGCCGGTTTTGACTTACATGTTGTGGTCCTCTGATCACTGTTGGTTCTGTTGAAACCATCTGATGAGATTCAGCACTTGGAAAAGGTTTTGATGGTTTAAGAAATGAAGGGCTTGAAGGACTTCTCAATGTGCTATTATCAATTGTAGTACCTACAGAAGCATTAATGTTTGCAGTCTTTCCTTGCTCGTCACCGAAATGGTTGGCTTTTGTCTTGTTAGTTGGTCCCACAGGAAATGTTTCAAATAAAGTGCATTGTTCCCTATTCTTATCTTTCAAGTCCTGGATATCACCTTGCAACAGTGCTTCTTCAACTTTACGTATGGGATCTTCAAAAGGAGTTTTTGATATTGTTTTTTCTGGTGCACTGTTTAGGAAATCATAGTCACTATCAGAAGGTGGGAATCTGACATCTAATTCAGACAGAGACTCAACTACTTGAAGACGTTCCTGTTGCATTCTGTACCCTTGTAATACAGCAGAGGTTTTAGATATATTTTCGTCCTTGCCAACAAAATGTTCTTCTACATGTTCTTGCTCTCCTTCATCTGTACACTGTATAGGCATTGAGAATGGCATATCTAAAGGAATCAAAAAAAAGACAACAATTGGATCTCAAACTATCTCGGAAAGCCAAAAAAAATTAAAGAAAGTAACACAGTCTTATACTTCAACTATGAACCTGTAGGGCAATGTTCAAGTTACTTATGCAGCCCCTTATATCTTCTTCTCTATAGCACATTAACAGGCATATGATATATCGTAAGTGTAAAACATATACTTTGTTACATCAAGGTCATACATTAAGTACTTGAATTAAGTTAAAAAATCTGAAATATTTTGTGGTGTGTATAGGGAGTAACAAATCACATAATTTAAAAAGTTAACTTCTTTTGGAGCATAGAGAATAAATATTAGTTTTTAAATCAATACCTATGAGGGCATTTAAACTTTGACCAATACACAGTTTTAAAATTGTTCTGGAGTTCAAAAACCAGCATCCATTGTTGGAAGGAAAACAATTTATACTGAAGAATGGCAGTTGATCAGTGACTACTCTTCTGAGATCAACACAGCAGCATGAGTTGCTAGGTCATGGAAACAAAAGCTCTAGTTCTTTGAACATCTTTATTTATAATAAAGAGCTTTCAATTTATATGATAGGAAGAATGATTGGAAAGTCTAGGATCAAGCATCTGATATCTTTCCTGCTAAATGAGGAGGTCGTAACTGGAGATTAAAGGCCTTTTCCTAGGCAATGAGAAATGAAGACCACCTAGACTCAAGATCACAGCAGCAAAGATTTCATGGGTGAGAATGGCTTAAGGCATAAGGAAATGAAGGGGACAACAGTAAATACCTTCAGCGCAAAATTGAGCCCATCATATTTTTAAAAAAAATTTAATTTCCTAGGATTGAATGGAGAGTAAACTTTAATAACTTAACCATAAAATTATTACAAGAAATTTCAACCTCATCCCCAAATCTCAGAATACACATGAAAACTGCTGTGCTTTTAACCATTTTCACTGTGCAGTTATTTCAAGCAATCCTTTTATTTGAAAAAGCCTACAAATATTGACATTTTATTACTGGTAACCTAACGCACTGCACTTCACAATAACAAAGAGTGGTTCAGTGCTTCTTCACAGAAAGAGAAAATTTGGGGTGGGGGCAAGGACAGTGGGCTTATATTTTCAATGGCTGCTTAAGAGTTGCATTGGTATAGTTTACCTAATTTCCCACAAGCCACGGGCAGAATATTACTGGGAGCACCTAAGTGCACAAAACAAAGCAAAAATTATATTTGTTTCATAGCTTTATTGAAGCTACTAGAAGTAAAGGAATGTTTACACCACGTTCCAGTTTATAAACAACAAATTGATAAAATTAATCTTTATTAAAAAGTTACATATACCAAAGTTGTGAAATCAGTACACGTCATGTTGAGTCAATCAAGATTTATGGGATAAAAACGTGAAATAATGTACCTTACATTTTAGTGTCGCTCAACATTTATATCCTTTAAGCTAAAGTTAGCTTAATTTGTTCCATTAGTCCCACTCCCTTATTAAAACTTCCATTTTATCAGTTTCTGTAATCATTATTTCATTGGTGCAAAGGCAGCCATTACATTTTTAATATTATCAAGTTAGAAAAAGGAGAACAAGTATTTAGTTGATAAAAAAAACTCAAGTCTACAACGGCTAGTAAATTTCAAATAGCCTTTTGAAATCATGAAAATTAAACTTTGATTTTAATTTGTTCATCCTCCCCCAACCCCACCAGACTCTTGTTTCAATATTATTAATTTTTTGTAAACTTGTGTCCAAGAGTTTAAGATATTACTGCCAGGAGTAATGAGCATTTCTATAGGCTTATATGAATTACAAACTACACAGCATGATTAAATTAATGACCAGCCTTCTGTACTGATTTTGCAAACAATGTTCAAAAAAATCTTCAGATATTTCTTCTGTAATTAAGTGTTCGCCCATCAGCCTTTTTATGTAAAGACTGTAGTTGTATTTTCACCATATTTGAAACAAAAAAAAGGGTTCAAATAATGGAGACTTCTAAGGAGAGATACAACATTCTACTAAGTGGGGAATAAAAATCAGGTAATTATCTTTGCATTTTTAAAGATTCCATTGGATTCCCCAAACGATTGAAGTACAATGCAAAGAAAATGTGCATAGTACTCACTTATTACTTCTTTGCTGTAGTTATATTTACTCAGAAGTTCCGTTTGTTTCTTTGTTAAGGCAGACAGTTGTTTAAATTCTTGACAAATCTCTTGAAAAGCAAAGTCCAACCTCTCTCTGTAATACAAGTATTGGTATGTCAGAAAAGCGGTTTAATGTTAATTTTCCGACATAAATCACTTGCCATTACACAGCCTTCTTCAGTAGAAAGGAGGGACGTCTAGGTCTCAGACTTGGCCGTGACCACAATCTATTCTGTTACATGATCAGCTGACAGAAGGTGCGCTTATAGCAAAGTAGAAAACTGCCAATTTTTCACATTTCCTGAACCTGTGATCATCTGGTTGGGAGGCAGGCCACCAGGTGGTGATAAGAGCTACATTTTGAATAAATGGCTTTATTTCTTTGTGAAGGTACAAATACCAAAACCGTTTTACATCTAAAGCTAAAGGATTGATACAAATGACATTTATTGCAGTGGTAACTTATAATATTTCGGAACTAAGTATTAGTTTCACGGGAGAATAATGCATTTGGAACTAATTCCTCAACACAGAAGTCGAATGTTTTATAACCAGTCTATACTGCCAAGTTTGTGTCCAATTTAAATTTGGCATTTACAATGATCCAGCACTAGACTGGCACTATAAATCCTGCTGAATTACTACTTCAAGCTCATACCAGCATGGCAAGATAATCACCCCTTCAGGGGTTGGTATCAGGCCAAGAGGAATTCAGAGGTACTTCACTGAAGACTCTGCATTTCTGCCAATCTGGCTTCACTATCCTGGCACCCCTTATACTCATCTATAACATATCTGGTCTGCATTCATTGATGTTTTATTACTTCCAGCTAATAACTGAATAAAAGGATTTTTTGAACAATAAGATGTGCTCCAATAATACAAAACATAAATGAAACAGTTCATTTTCTTCTCACAAATATGCTTCCCTCTGAGGTGCAGTTTAATTTCTAAGGCATGAGTACCTAGTCGAAGACACCAAGAGACTAAGTCTAAGCCTGTGACAGCGGACCTGTGGTCTATTATGGGCATCCCAGCCCAATACTTGCTACCCATACACACACACAAGAATGTCATGGTAATAATGATGAGGATCAAGATTCTTTTTTGACATTATTTTCTATAAACAAACTAAGAATATAGAGGCCTAATGCAATACCACAGTTACTATCCCGCATGAGATCCGCTACCATGCACAGAAATGGTGCCTTCTGCTCTATAGGCCATAAAGTAGTGCCTTTTGCACATTAAATTATCACAGGAGCTCAATTTAGATATATAGTGATGTCAAAAATTGTTGCTGCAAAATACATTGTTGAAAACTGGACTGTTAGACACCACGTTCTTAGATTAATTGTGTCCATTTTAAAATAAGAGCATGATCAGACACTGATGGGTGTTTGTGAAAGTTAGAATAAATTTTAACTGGCATGTTGGCAGAGTTGGCGGGTGGTGCTGTTGGCAGAGTTGGGAAATGGGTCCGGTGGTGGGGTTGCGGGGGGAGCAGCGAGGAGAGCAAAAGTAAGTGGAGGAGAAATGGAAAACACTTATGAAACAGAGAAAGATCCTAATCGAAGATCAGAAAGGAAGATAGATGAAGAAAATGTAAAAAAAACTTTAAATAAAAGGTCAATGCATGTGCAAATTTGAAGAATTCACTTTTTTTTTTGCCTTGACTATAAAGTAACAAAAACAGAAGGAAAACCAAGGCCCCAGAAAGAAATCAAATTGCAGTTAAGTGGAACAAAATGACTGTCAAGACGTGAAATCACTGAAAGATATTGAAATGCAAATTGTACAGGAATGAGGAATAGTTTATTAAGAAAGAGAAAAACATTAACTTCCATGACAATAAATCATATCTTTTAGGTTTATCATCTTAAAAATGCTACTTGTAGAACTATATCAAATTAAAAACTGACAGCTGGAATGGCTCTGAAAGTATAAACATGGTGGGCAATTTCTTGAAATTGCAACCTTTCAAATAGTTAATTAACTGGGAGATCTTTGCTGACCTAGATTTCAGCTAATTAGCATGCTTGCATTGTTTATTTAAGTCAATGAGAAAAGTGGGACACTTGTTCATTCTACTATAGCCAAATGTAATACACTGCTACTTTTAAATTATAAACAAATTATTTTTCTCATCATCTATAGAATGAGATTGAAAGCACTGTCCCATTGGTAAAGTCCAGATCTATAAATAAACATTCCTTTTAGCAAATGTTACCTGCAATGCTGGAAAATGGCTTCGCACCCGCAGTACAAAGAGACAATCTGTATTATATTTTCAGAATACACAATATGAAATGCCAGAATGGATACTCCCTGTCTTTACAAAAAAAAGTACCTGAAAATCCACTAAACTGATACTAAAACTGGCTGTCAAAAATGCAACCCCAAACTTACTGTATAGACAGTAAGTTGCTTGGCAAAGCAGCATATACAGGGATGTGTAAATTCATTTTTTTTTATTGTTCATTCATTTAGGTACATTCCGATCGACTTTCAGGTCCAGAATAACACTTAAAAAGGAGTCCCAAAGTATACTCTCTGTACCTAAATTTGAAGCAACAAAACTGATGTTTTGAAATATCTTTGCACAAGTTATAACTCAATCCAACCAAATCTTTTGGGTTTAATCTCATTGAATCATTGTAAACTCCCAGTCTTGTGGATCTGCAACTGCAATTAAAAGCAGAGTTAACTTTCTTCATAAAAAGTGCATCACAGGAGCTGAAAAGTAACAGCACAGACAAATCTGTGTAGCTCCAGCAAAATATGGTTGCTTCATTTAGCATCATAGAGCACTCCCTGCACAACAGCCATCTGGATTGTGTGAAAGATAGCGGAATGTAGGGTATGCAGGGTAGTTTGAGCTTAGTAGGATAATTGGTTGGCACAACATCATGGGCCGAAGGGCCTGTACTGTGCTGTACTGTTCTACGTTCTGTGTTCTATGAAGAGTAAAGTTCATGAATTATGATCAGTGACATTGAAGCAGGAAAAATTATTTTTCATCTGCTGAGTACCTGCTAAGGTAAAAGTAACCATGATTTCTGAACATAGGAAAACATAGACACTACATCAAGTTTCCTCTCAACTTACTACATTTGATGGAGACTGCATACAAAGCATCAAAATAAACTTGTAGCTCTTTACTAGGTTCATTGGCAATATTATAGCACAGCAAACCCTCCAACTGCAACTTAAAATGTGAATTATCCTATTGTCATTGCCTTGTATTTTGTAAGACACAGAAGTGGAAAAAAAACATAAAAGGATTTCAATTACAGGGCAATTACAAACTATCGTAAGAATGGACAAACCCTCCAAGATACATTCACATCACTGAGCATGAGCAACGGTATTAGAGCCTCAACAAAAGCAGCACGCAGTTGGGTTTCTGGAACACATCTTCTAAGAGATAGACTAGCTCCAAGTAACAGTGACAAAGGAAACCAATTAGAAGCAGGTGATCAACTATCCTGCGAAGAAGTGCAAAACAAAGAACAGGTATACCTCGTGACTTGCTCAACAGTTATCAATACGTAGAAACATAGAAAATGGGAGCAGGAGTAGGCCATTTGGTTAATCACCCTACTCTGCATCCTGTTACCACTTTCTCCCATACCGTTTGATCTCTTTAGCCCTAAGCACTAGATCTACCACCTTCCTGAAAACACCGCTTTCTGTGGTAGAGAATTCCACAAGCTCATCACATTCTGGGTGAAGAAAGTTCTCCTCATTCAGTCCTAAATGGGTACTCCATATGCTTAAACTGAGACCACTGGTTCCGGACCCAGTGATCATCGAAAACATCCTCCTGTGTCTTCCCGATCTAGTAAGAATTTTATCGGTTTCTATCAGATCTTCCCCGACCATTCTTCTAAACGCCAGTGAATACAGTCCTAATCGATCCAGTCTCTCTTCATACATCAGTATAATGCATACCATTGGTCAAATTTGGCATTCAGAATATTAACTCTTCCTCTCTCTTCAGAGACTTCCTCATCTGCTGAGGTTCTCCAGCACTTGGTTTTCATTTCCTATCTCCAGCATCACAGTATTTAGCTTTCATCCTGATCTGTGCAAACTGTCTTTGTATTTTAATCTTGCTATCAGGCTGATGAATTTGCATTACACTCTTTCCAAAAGCAAATATATCTTTCATGAAATGAATGCAGTAGTTTAAATTAGTGTTCCCAACTTTTTCAGAATCAAGGCACACTTCAATGAGATAAACAATTCCATGGAAGACCAACATTTTTCAGCTGGATTCATAGCTCATAAAGGTCACATTTATTTGCATTTACCATGATTATGGGCTTACGAGAGAGGTTTGCAACAGTGCATACAACAAATATACAATTTATACATTTCTTCTTAGAATCGATTCTAAGACTTCGATTAGTGCCTAACGGTCTTTAACTGAATGGTGGCTTAAAAATTCCAAAAATATTCGCCCTCAAATCCATGCAAATGTGTCCAGTCAGGCAGGCCAGTTCAACAGTCATTCAACAATTGCTCCTACTTCTTCACTGTGCATGTTCAGTTTCTTTTCATCACGGAGATACAATCTTTGATCTTTGCGTGTGCAAACAGACTGAATGTTTGGGCCTGCACATGTGCAAGCAGGCAGATTTTCCACTTTCTGTGCATGCATGGTGCCAAATTTCCATACAGGCACAGTATTGGACATCTATGTGAAGTGTCGCTGCTTTGAGAACCTCACAGCACACTTCTCATCTTATCACAGAACAGTGGTTGAAAACCTCTACTCTGAATAGAGACTAACCAGAGCTTTATAACAAAACTAACTTCCAACTCCAGCTTGAAACGGAGAACAATATTCCAGCAGCCTTGAATTCTTTTTCTGTTTGTACACTTAGCTGTTTCAATTATGAGTCTGACATTTCTCAGTTTCTCCACAGTTCTCAACTTATTCTTAGCCAATCTACCTAATTTGGCCAAAACCCTTTATATATAACCAGGTAATAATTGTGAAAATCTGATAGTAATTATTGGTGTCAAGTGTGTGAGATTCAACAAATTAGGTACCAATTTGCAACTTCAAAGAATGCTATTGATGCTGTAATGTGAGTGCTCATTGTCCTGAGCTTCCTCAATATTGCACATTTGATCAATATAACCAAAATATATTTGTCACAGCCATTAAAGTACAAAGAAAATAATTCGGCTTTTCCTACTATAGTAATCTTTATCATTGATTATGGGTTTGTTACCAAAGCATTTTATTTATTAATACAATTTATCTATTGAAGGAGAAAAAAACATACTTGTACAGAGGATGCTCAGTCCCTGTCAAAGGAACAGCATTCTTTGATGATGATTCAGCCATCTTCCGGTTTACCTTGAAACATAAACATTTTTAACAAAACTAACTAAATTTTGTTTTTTGGTATACATGATAGTTAAAAATAAACAATGAGTATAAATCATTGTATGACTGGAGAGAACACAGCTTAGTTACAAGATATATATATTCTTACAAACAGAACGTATGTTAGATAATATATAGTGAAAATAACAGCTAATGCAATGCATGCTGCAAGGCTGGAACTGCCAATTCCAACTGACTGAGCATGTAGATGATCAGTGAGCACCATCTGCTGAAATTGTGTCACACTACAAGTTTAATTTAACATATGATTGATCAACTCTTTACCCTAATGTACAAGATAATTTGAAAGGCACATTTAAAGCTCAAATCTGCATTCCAGTTAATTTATATTGACCTCATGTTGCTGGTACTAGACAGACCTTGGAGTTTTAATGAGCGATTTATCTGCCGAAGAGGCAACAGTGCCAAGGTCGAGCCTTTCTAAACCACCAGTCTCACAATATTCAGACAGAAGAAACTTATAAGTAAAAAGTTCTAGAATTTTTAAGCTGCAGGTGTCTTGCAGGCTGGATTGATACAGCTTAGCCTGTGTGAGGCCTTTAGTCTTACACTACACCTACTAAAATATTCTCTGCAAACTCCAGTTAACTTTTTTTTTGGAAAGATATTAACATGTTCAGACAGATTGAGGCTTCCCCCTGCCTCTGGATTAAAACACTAGGCTGTTCATTTAAAATGTTTCCATGGTGGTACAAACCATGTTTAACCTTTGCTCCACCATCTGGCTCACATTCTAGATCACTTATGTGTAGGGACAGAGGCCTATACTACCAAATAGAATAACCATATTCAGATGCAGAGTAGGAGCTTAATATCAAAGGCGAAACAGTAATTTCTGTGACCAGTGGCCTACTAGGCTATTACTTGCATCTCACTGGAGAAAAAAAGTGTAAAAGACAAACAGGAAGAGCAAGGACTTACATAAAGAAATAACAGTTCAATTAAAACAAAGTAGAAAATTGTGTGAATGTGATTTATAGACAGTGGGAGGCATTCAAAAGAGAACATGAAGGGGAAAGACAGTGAGGAGAGAGGCAGAAAGAGAGAGGAGTGAGAGAAGAAAGGAGAAAGAAAAAGAGAGGAGACAGATACAAAATACAAATTAGGAGGAAGAGTAATCCATTCAGTTCCTCAAGTTTACTCACCCATCTGATTGGTATCTCAATCTCACACTCCATCCTATCCATGAGCCAATTTGACACTCCTGTTAGTCAAGAATCTATCTACTTCTACCTTAAAAATATCTAAGTTACCCTGCTTCCATTGTTCTGAAGACTCACCATCTACTGAAAGAAAAAAATTCTCCTAATCTTAAACCCATTATTTATAACGGTATCCCCTAATTCTGGTTCCTCCCATGGGGAAACATTCTTTCTGATCCACCTTGTCAAATGCACTCAGGATCTTGTATGTTTCAATAAGATCACCTCTCTCTTCTAAACTCCAATGGATATTCGAGAATCAAGTGAGTGAACTTTCTCTGAGCTGCTTCGAATGCTAATACATTGCTTTCCTCAAATAAGGAGATCAAAACTGTGCACAGTACTCCAGGGTATGGAGACACCAACACCCTGACCACTGTACCAAAAAAATCACTACTTTCATATTCTATTCCCCTTATAATAAATTACATCATATTTGGATCCCTAATCACTTTCTGCACTCCATACTAACCTTTTGTGATTCATGTATCCTCTGACAACAAAATGTCAGACAGAGCTCAAACATTGAGACAGGACAGAAGCCAAATAAATAGAATGGAAAATTGCAAGTGTGATAGAGGTCTCTAACATATCATCCAGCAGGAATTTGGATATTTAAAATCAAAGTTTTTTTCAGTTTGTAGAATCTCCAGGGTAACAGAGTTTGTAGACATCTTTTCACTGTCAGAACAGAAAAGGTATCTACGCCACCCTAACTGGAAAGAAGTGCTAAGATTTTTCAGTAGTCCAAGAAGGACTGAAAATAGTCCATCAGGGAAAACAATGAATTTCTCTTGGAGAGAGTATCTGAAAAGAACATTACTAGGAAAAAGGCTGAATCTTTATTGTTGCTGTTTACGTAAGATTTTTGAAAACTACCTGACATTTATATCAGAGATCGTAAGAACTGAAATTTATATCCTTTTGTTCTCTTTTGTGTAATAAATTTGTATTCTTGAGTTAAAAGAACTTCAGCAAAGTCACACGAATATGTTCAGTAATTAATTGCCACATTGGCAACTAACAACAAGTCAAATTTCATTTTGTTAATCAATCTGGCCAGTGTCACCATAATCTGGGACCATGACACAAGACACGCAGACACAGTGGAGAGCGAGCACGGGCGGGGGGGTGAAGAGAGCGGGCCAGGGAACGAGCACGCGTGAGAGTGGGAACGAGACAGGGAGTGAGCGCGGGCCAGGGAGCAAGCGCGCAAGAGAGCAGGAACGAGACAGGGAGCGAGCCCGCAAGGGTTGGCCAGAAAAGGAAGGAAGGAGGGAGGGAGGGACGGAGGGAGGGAGAGATGGAAGGAGGGAGGGACAGAGGGAGAGGTAGAGGGAGGGAGGGGGAGGGAGGAATGGAAGGAATGAAACAGCATAAACAACCAGCAAATTCTAGAGATTTTCAACTTGCTGCTTCTCTCTTCATCTTTTGATTTCATTGGCTAATTTGAGCACTAGTAAAGTTGTCCATCATTAACATGCCATTATTATCCTAAAGAGATTCATCCCAATGTTTTCTATCTACTATTTTTGCAAAGCAATTCATATATGTAGAAGTGTTATCTGCATACCACTGGGATAGGCTGCAACATAAAACTACTTTTATATTTAACCTTTACAACTAATATTGTATTGTCAGGGTAGTAGGCCAACACAAAAATATAAACATGCAAATTTTCAAGATCCAAAACTGGATGAATCTTAGGTCTATAGCAACCATTGCATCTGATATCATAGAGTCACAGAGTCACACAGCATGGAAACAGGCTCTTTGACTCAGTATACAGTAACATTGCAACAAGTTCCATTTCACAAATAACTTAATTTAACTGAAACTAATATATAGTCCAAAAGGCAACAGAAATAGTAAATAAACACAAACATTTGTAGACTTCATCTGTACCAAAAGACAAATTAGACAATAGAAAAATTCTTGTGTTGACAGTCATGTGCAAGCACAATGGGTCTCAGGCTAACTCTGTTCAGAAATTAAAATATAAAATTTCAGAAATAAACAGATCCATTAGCAACCATTCAAAAAAGCAAATTAAACAAGAACTGAATTTTGGCATTCAGCAAAAATCAATTCTCCAATTTTACAAGACCACATGAGAGGGATAACAGTGCATATTTAAAAGGATAATAATGGAGGCTTAGTTACAAGGCATGATTGGTTAAGTGAGGTTATTTCATTTGGAACACAGGAGGCTAAGAAGAGATTTAAAGGAAGTCATATAGCAGGGCCTGGATAAAGTGAACAGGAAGGACCCACTTCCCTTTGCATTTAGGTCAATAATTAGATGGTAGTTATTTAAATAACTGGGAGAAGCATTAGATTTGAGCAGAAAGTTTTTCACCCAAAGAGGAATAAGGGCTCTGAACTCACTACTTTAGAGGGTCATCCGGACAGAAACTGTCACTGCATTTTAAAATTACTTGGATATACAATTGAGTATTACAATTGACAAGGCTACAGATCAGGAGTTGGAAAGTTTTATTAAGATGGATAGCTCTTTTGAATGGTATAAGCTCGATGGTCTCCTTTCCAGCCTTAAACTTCTGTTCCACTGATTCACTGGCGTCCCTTACACTTCCAAAGAAGAGAAATTGGACTTGAAACATTAACTGTTTCAGAGATAGTGGGAACTGCAGATACTGGAGAATCTGAGATAA